GAAGTTCCAACCCTTTCCTTTAAAAAACAAACATTATATTTATCGTTTTCAATTTTACAACAATGAAACAAATTACGTTATTTAATTCACACCAGCGATATCGACTTTCCCTCCTTCCGTGGTCCGTTATAATTTCCCCTTTTCTACTGCATATTCCAAGTTCTCCTTTTCCATTCTTTATCTATCATATTTTATTTATTCCTCTCCCCCCCCCCGGCTACAATTAATCCTGCTAACATTTAAAGTTGTTTACAATGATTTTTCATATATTCCACCAATTTCTCCCATTCTTTCTTAAAAAAACTTCCTTCTCCTGGTCTCGAATTCTGCTTGTGAAATCAGCCATTTCAGCACAGTCCATCAGTTTCATCTACCGCTCCTCCTTTGTTGGAACTAAACTTTCCTCCCACTTCTGAGCATAACTTCTGACACTTTCCTAAACCATCACACCTTAGAAAACCTCCTCTGCCGCCACCATCCTCTTCTCCATAAGAGGAAATGAAGGGCATGGCTGCAGGAGCCTTTTTGTTTAACCCACAAGAAAGAAGGGCTTTCTCGCTGGCTAGGTTCAATTCTGATCCTTCTAGCCTCCTTTGGGGTAGGTTTGCAGATATGGCAGAAGGAGATAGGATCTGCCCATGCGATGCCCACCTGGTGGAAACTCTAGCTCACGTGGCCCTTAAATGTAAAACGTATGATCTCCCCCAACAATTTCTAGACCATCTATGTATTCCAACATGGAAACCAGAGATGGAGGTTATGAGCTTCTTATTACAGGGGAGAGACCAGGAGGCTCACCAAGACAGTAGCTAAGTTCCTCTATTTGATTTTTTGTTGCCGAAGTACGCTACAGGATCCTGCCCTTGCTGGAGACCCACAGAGATGAAACAGATTGCTCGCCTCTTCTTCCCTTTGGCAAATGACTGTACTGTTGAAATGGCAACGAGATCGCACTGGCCTATTTATTCTGAATGTTTCTTTGTGATGCCAATAAAGGTTTGATGATGGTGGTGATACAGGACCTGGGTGCAATAACTCTCTCCCAGCACCTGGGATTCAGAATTTCTCTCACGTATGGAGAATGATGCTAAACAGTTAGGAATCCCAGCTTGTTTTCTATAATCATTGTCCCACAGATAAGCTGGACTGACTTATCTATAGGCTTGAAAAGAATCATATCTAACTGGTGGACGGTTTTTAGCAGAAACCATCAACAGAACTGCATGGAATAACCTTACATGTATAGAGCAAAATATCGCTCTTGAATTATATACCCAGCACGTGGAACCTTACAAAAGGACAATACGAGTGGACTATCTGTGCCCTTATCACAGCAAAAAGACTGATACCCTGATGTAATGGAAAAATAAAAATGTGGCTCCCTTCTACGATTGGATTGAAGACCCATATAAACCCGCAACATATCAACAACCTGCATATAAACGCAGGCTTGCCAATTCAATGATATTTGGAATCCATTTTTACAAATACTGTAACAGGTTAAGATCCGGTGAAGTACAATAACAACTTTGTAAAGTAAAAATAAATAAAAAATGCTTGAAAAGAATCATGGCATTCTGGCTTCCTTGACCTTTTACATGTTAAGGCAAACCAGCATTGTTTACCGCGAACAATGTAATTTATGCTGCTTTTCCCAGCAATGATAGATGCTGCTAGATAAAGGAGATGGTTTTGCCCCCTCTTTCATTGACCACACACAATTCCAGCCAGATGTTTTTGCTTTGAGAGTCTTCACATTCCTAGGGACTAGAAACTTGATTTCCTTTGAATAATAAAGGTAAAGGGACCCCTGACCATTAGGTCCAGTCGCGGCCGACTCTGGGGTTGCGGCGCTCATCTCGCTTTACTGGCCGAGGGAGCTGGCGTACAGCTTCCGGGTCATGTGGCCAGCATGACTAAGCCACTTCTGGCGAACCAGATCAGCGCACGGAAACGCCGTTTACCTTCCCACCGGAGCGGTACCTATTTATCTACTTGCACTTTGACGTGTTTTCGAACCGCTAGGTGGGCAGGAGCTGGGACTGAGCAACGGGAGCTCACCCCGTCGCGGGGATTCGAACCGCCGATCTTCTGATCAGCAAGTCCTGGGCTCTGTGGTTTAACCCACAGCGCCACCCGTGTCCCTCCTTTGAATAATATTTCTAAGCAAAAGCTGAAATTGCACAGTGGTTGGATTGTGCGTGCGTGTGCAGAACACACGCAGACCTGGTGATAAGTGTTTCCTAAGCTGGAACGGGGAAGGCTCCCTTCTTTTGCAAACAACACCCTGGAAAATGACCTGCCCCTCTCTAACCCTCTCCAGCATAATGCGGCATGAAGAGTTGTAGGGCCCTGCTGGAAGAGGTCTTGCCCCCACTGCGGTGTTAATATCTGACACCGGCCATCAAAGGCTTTGCGGAGGGAGACCCCAAAGGGCACAGGGAGCCTTGTAAAGGAGGCCACCGTGCTAGGGGAGCTTGCTCCCGGGCAGGGAGAGGGCCCTTTAACAAAGGTTCGAGGAGGTCAGGCTGGCAGCATCCCGGTGGCCACATGTGTCCGACGTTTAACACGGCCCAGGTCTGGAATCCATTTGCCTCGGCTGCCGGGAGAGGTAATGGTACCCCAGGGAGATGGGAAAAGCTTCTCAGCACATCCCTCCCATCTGCTCCCTGTTTATTTACTTACACTTAAGGATCACCTCCTGGATAAAAGGTCCCCGTGTGGGGGGCGCAAAGTGTGCAAGGGGGGGTCATTGTCCTATGTTGACACTGCGGAGACCCCCTCTCCAGGTTTTCAAGCTACTGTTTGCATATCTGATCCCACCGGCTGCCCAACTTTTGGCAGTGGGAAGCCGGATTTGGAGGGTGCAAGGCGGCTGTCAGATGGGCAAGTTGCGCCCGGAAATGCACCCATATTGCACAAGAACATAAGGGGAGTCCAGAAGTCGAATCGGTAATGATTCACTGGGCAAAAGACTTTGGGTATAATATACATCCTTCGGCACGGGGGAGATGATGGAAATACGATTTAAAATTTACAGCTTGTTGTACACGGAAAGAAAATCGTATGGAAATGGTGTGCCGTTGGTATTTAACTCCCTGCAAATTAGCAAACAGGTATAAAAAAGGTAAAGGTAAAGGGACCCCTGACTGTTAGGTCCAGTTGTGGCCGATTCTGGGTTGTGACGCTCATCTCGCTTTATTGGCCAAGGGAGCCAGCGCACAGCTTCCGGGTCATGTGGCCAGCATGACTAAGCCGCTTCTGGTGAACCAGAGCACGGAAACGCTGTTTACCTTCCCTCCGCAGCGGTAACTATTTATCTACTTGCACTTTGAGGTGCTTTCGAAGTGCTAGGTTGGCAGGAGCAGGGACCGAGCAGCGGGAGCTCACCCCGTCGCGGGGATTCGAATCGCCAACCTTCTGATCAGCAAGCCCTAGGCTCTGTGGTTTAACCCACAGCGCCACCTGCGTCCCTTAAAACATGTAAAGGTAAAGGTACCCCTGCCCGTACGGGCCAGTCTTGACAGACTCTAGGGTTGTGCGCTCATCTCACTCTAGAGGCCGGGAGCCAGCGCTGTCCGCAGACACTTCCGGGTCACGTGGCCAGCGTGACGAAGCTGCTCTGGCAAACCGGCACCAGAGCAGCACACGGAACGCCGTTTACCTTCCCGCTATAAAGCGGTACCTATTTATCTACTTGCACTTAAGGGTGCTTTCGAACTGCTAGGTGGGCAGGAGCTGGGACCGAACGACGGGAGCTCACCCCTCCACAGGGATTCGAACCGCCGAGCATGCGATCGGCAAGTCCTAGGCGCTGAGGTTTTACCCACAGCGCCACCCGCGTCCCTATAAGGCATATAAGGCAGGATTAAATCTGTGTTGGAAATGTAAGGAAAAAGAGGGCACCTTTTATCACATGTGGTGGACATGTAAAGTAACGAAAGCACTTTGGGAAATGATATACAGTGGTACCTCGGTTTAAGAACAGTCCAGTTTAAGAACGATTCGGTTTACAAACTCTGCAAAACCGGAAGCAGTGTCTTGGTTTAAGAGCTTTTCCTTGGTCTAAAAATGGAATCCGAACGGTGGAAGGGCACTGGCGGCAGGAGGCCTCATTAGGGAAAGCACACCTCAGTTTAAGAACGGTTTTGGTTTAAGAATGGACTTCCAGAATGGATTAAGTTCATAAACCGAGGTACCATTGTATAATGAATTTTTAAAAATGTTTAAAATAACTTTTGTAAAAAAAAGCCTGAAGCTTTTCTTTTAGGAATTATAGTTATGGTACCCAAATCCCAAAGGAACAGAAATGACTTTTTATGTAGGCAACGACAGCCAAGCAGGTTCTCCTAGCCCAGAGATGGAAAGATTACAAAGTCCCGACCAGAGAAGAATGGGCAGACTAAGTTGATGGACTACACCAAAATGGCGAAACTAACTGGAAAAATTTGAAATCAGGAAGATCCACAAGGAATGTGGAAAATATATGTTACCTTAAAAACTATTGTAAACAGTTAAAATTGTTGGCAGGGTTTTAGTAACACTTGTAATGTAACAGGTACCATGATTGAAATTGAAACATAAAATTTTAGATTACTTTAAAAGATGCAGTAAGAAAACTATAACAAAGGGGAGGTGGGAAGTCAAGGGGATTCGAGGGAATCCTGCGTGTAGATAATATGATGTGTTATGAATGTAAACTGTAATATGGGAAATCAAATAAATATATTTGGGGGGGAGGGACATAAGGAGAGTCCTGCAGGATCAGGCCAGTGGCTCATCTATTCCGGCATCCTGTTCCCACAGCGGCCAGCCAGATTCCTGTGGGAAACCCACAAGCAGGATTCGAACACAAGGCCAATTCTCTCCTCCTGCGGTTTCCAGCAAGTGCTGTTCAGAGGCATGCTCTGTCCCATAATAATCACAGAACCACAGACTCGGAGAGCAGGAAGGGACCACAAAGATCACCTAGTCCAACCCTCTACAATGCAGGAATCTTTTGCCCAACATGGGGCTCGAACCCACAACGCTGAGATTAGGAGTTTCATGCTGTGCTGCCTGAGCTATCCCTCAACATTAGGAGAGCCCTGGGGCAGGATCAGATGCTTGTGGATCTTTCTCAGCAGGCTGGTATTCACACTCTTTTGTATATTAAGCGCAAACACTCCGATTGCACCTAGTTACCAGTTACAGCCCCTTTGTTTTCATTATTTATTTCCCAAAAATTATACACCGCTTGATTGATTGATTGTTTTTTTAAAAAAAACCCCTGACAAAAAAGATAAAACGATAAAAATTATCCATAAGAGAAATGAAGAAGAATAAGAAAAATTAACAACAATAATTTAAAGACTTTTTAAGACTTTCAAAAATTTAAATGACTAGACTAGAAACCAGGCAGAGGGCCTTCTCGGTAGTGGCACCCGCCCTGTGGAACGCCCTCCCGTCAGATGTCAAGGGAATAAACAACTACCTGACTTTTAGAAAACATCTGAAGGCAGCCCTGTTTAGGGACGTTTTTAAGAATTGATGTTTTTTATCATGTTTTTAATATTCTGTTGGGAGCCAGATGGGTGGGGTATAAATAATAATAATAATATATTGTTGTTGTTGTTGTTGTTACTGATACAGATTGAAAATCTCATTAACTTTCTCAATAAAAATGACTGCAGTGAAGGCGTTGGCCTGCTATCAATAGGCAGGGAGTTCCAAAGTGTACAGCAAAATGAATTTAAGATTGGGGGGAATGAGAAACAAGAGAACTGAAATTGACGGATGGCGCCATCGCTACATATTCCCACAAGTTTTCTATGGGATTGGAGCAGCTCCCGTGTTTAAAGGTGCAGAAATGTGTCCCCATCGCATCTTCCGAAGAGGTTCTGCCCTGTATTTTCCTGCAAAGTGACACTCGGTCCCCCACGATCTCTGCTGGCCTCTTCCCCTTCACATGGCACCCACATGCTCTGCAGCAGCTGCACCTGAATACACAGCAGTAGCTTATCCGTCAGCCGGCTGTCATGAACCTTGTGCCCCTTCCTTGCTTAGCCAAGACTCAGCCCAGTAGGAAGTCAGTGCTTGAGAGACACCTTAGCAAACAAGCATGGAGAGAGAAGGAGGGGGGAAACAGCGGCTTGAAATGGAGAGATCAACCTTACTGTATGCTTGTGAAACATGGACCACTTACAAACGCCATCTCCAGCTCCTCGAAAGATTCCATCAACGGTGTCTCCGGAAATTTTTACACATCATTTGGGAAGACAGGCGAACTAATGCCAGTGTACTGGAAGAAGCAAAGATCACCAGTGTTGAAGCAATGATTCTTCAACACCAACTTCATTGGAATGGTCATGTTGTGCAGATGTCTGATGATCGTCTTCCAAAGCAACTCCAGTGGTACTTCAGGTTACATACGCTTCAGGTTACAGACTCAGCTAACCCAGAAATAGTACCTCGGGTTAAGAACTCTGCTTCAGGATGAGAACAGAAATCATGCGGCAGCAGCGGGAGGTCCCATTAGCTAAAGTGGTGCTTCAGGTTAAGAACAGTTTCAGGTTAAGAACAGACCTCCAGAACAAATTAAGTACGTAACCAGAGGTACCACTGTACTCTATTCTGAACTTAAAAATGGAAAGCATAATGCTGGTGGTCAACAAAAGAGGTTTAAAGACTCTACCAAGGCAAATGTAAAAAATTGCAGTACAGTGGTACCTCGGGTTACAGGCGCTTCAGGTTACAGACACTTCAGGTTACAGACTCCGCTAACCCAGAAGTAGTACTTCGGGTTAAGAACTTTGCTTCAGGATGAGAGCAGAAATCATGTGGCAGCCGTGTGGCAGCAGCGGGAGGCCCCATTCGCTAAAGTGGTAACCTCATGTTAAGAACGGACCTCCAGAACGAATTAAGTTCTTAACCTGAGGTACCACAGTATAAATACTAACAATTGGGAAACACTGGCCTGCGAGTGCTCCTGTTGGAGATCAGCCTTTACCAAAGGTGTCATGGGCTTTGAAGACCCTCAAACTCAGGACGCAAGGGAGAAACGTGTTAAGAGGAAGGCACGCTTGGCAAACCCTCACCATGATCAACTCCCACCTGAGAACCAATGTCCCCACTGTGGACCCCACTGTGGGTCCAGAATCGGCCTCCACAGTCACTTACGGACTCATTGTTAAAGCTGTGTTTATGGAAGACAATCTTACTCGGCTACAAGTGATCAGCAAAGGAGAAGAAGAAGATTTGGAAGGAGCAGGGCAGGGGTGGGGGACTTAACGCTTGAATCACATGGAGCTTCAGAGTCTTGGCCTGTAGAGCATGAGACTCTCAGTCTCAGGGATCGTGGGTTCGAGCCCCACATTGGGCAAAAGTTTCCTGCATTGAGCGGGTTGGACTAGATGACCCGCATGGTCCCTTCTAACCCTACAGTTGTATGAAGCCATGACCCATTCCCATGTTGCTAGACTGCCCAAGAAGCTCAGCAGACAGGAAGAAGGAATTAAGTTTCTAGTCCGCCGGCTTACAATATGACAAGATTTACATAATTACCAACGTAACAAAAGTCATAAGCAATAAATAAAACACATCAAGAAGTACACAACCAAATGGAAAACCATTTCCACATAAATCATAAAATCTAAAACTAAGAATACAGCATTAATATCAATTGCAATTTAAAATGACATAGATAAATAAAAGCAATTTAAAAAACAAAAACGGAATCCTCTCTGCCCAGATGGAAGGAGGCAGGCAAAATGTGCTGGAAAATGTGGAGCGCTCAAACCTTTGCACCCTGTTTTCCCCTGGGTTCCCCCAGCCAGAACCCCCATCTCTCTTGCACACACACAAACAAACACCCCAGCAGGTCTTTAGCTCTGCTTTATTGGGAATGGTTCTAAGCACAGAGAAAAGAGGATGGCTGCTCACTTTCCCATTAAGTCCTGTGGAGAGGGAATCAGAGGGGGGGGGTGTCCTTAACCCCCGACCAGCTCCAGGCCAGCCTGACTTTGCCTTGCCAAACGCAAACGCCTGCGAAATGGTCCTCTCCCTGCTGTTCGTCCTGAGATGTCCACTTTGCAAACCGCAGGGCGGACAGCGCTTTCCAGTGGAGCCTGGCTGAACGTTTGTGCAAAGGCAATGGGCCTTGAACGCACCATGTGCGGATATAAACAGGGGAAGGACTAATCACTGAGCACCAGCCTCCCCCCTCCCCCGTAATCCCAAGGTCTAAAATTATCTGCACCACTTGTTCGCCAAGTGTACAAAGTTGTCCCCCCCCCCCCATCAAGCCCCACAAATCTTCCAACTGTGATTTAAATGACATGAAACAAAGGGAGACCTTGCAGACAGGCCAGGGTCTCCATAGATGTGGGGTTTCAGGTACTGCAAATACAGAGGCATGAATATGTCTATTTCAGCTTCTCTTTTTCTAACCTTAAATTTGGTTCCCTGCATTTCCACATCAGTCGGCGATGTTTTTTAACAGAAAATTATTCCTCACAAAAGTCCACCTGCATTTTAGCGCTGGTTTCTCTGCGTGGACATAATTTGTGTGCAGTTTTGCAATGAGCACAATTTTCTCACAAAGCCATTTCCCCTGAAATAATGCATTTGTGTGTTATATATGTATCTTTCTATGGACACTTTACTCCATTTATGTTGCCATAATGGACATCGCGGAGTCCTGTGTCCAGTTCTGGACACCACAGTTTAAAAGGGATATTCTGGATAGCTCCGTTGGTTAGAGCGTGGTGATGATATCACCAAGGTTATAGGTTTGATCCCCATTTGGGATGACTGCACATTCGCTGCACTGCAGAGGGTTGGACTAGATGATCCTCAGTTTCCCTCCCAACTCTCCTGTTCTGTGATTACTCAGCTGGAGAGCTACCGTATTTTTCGCTCCATAAGACGCACTTTTTTCTTCCTAAAAAGTAAGGGGAAATGTCTGTGCGTCTTATGGAGCGAATGTGTGGTCCCTGGAACTGAATTGCCCAGGAGCGAAAAGAGGGAAGTGGGTGTTGAAACAAAGTTGCTGATCGTTTGCCGATCGGGGAGAGAGATAAGGGACGCTAGAGATAAAGGAGGCTGCCTGGGAGGGGGGAGGTAAAGACAGCAAACTTGCAAAGGGGGGGAAACAGGAAGACTAAAGCAATAAGGAGATAAATTAGAAGAAAAGGAGGAGCAAAAAACTGCTCCAGCTAAGGAAAAGACAATAAGGCAAGCAAGAGGGAAGGGAGTGTTGAAAGGAAGCAGCTGATCAGTAAGCGATTGGGAGAGAGATAAGGGACGCTAGAGATAAAGGAGGCTGCCTGGGAGGGGGGAGGTAAAAGCCCATGGATCCTCAGGGTTTTTGCACTGGGTCACCCCAAATTCACCATCAGATCACATAGCATGTCCATGGCTACAGCCTGCACCAAAAAAAGCACACATCCACTGTTTTGTGGGGCCACAAGGGCGCAAAAACGTAGTTACAAAGCACGGATCCACATGGATCCTCAGGATTTTTGCATTGAGCTACCCCAAACTCATCATCAAATCACATGTCTGTGGCCACAGCATGAACCACAAAAAAAATCATACATCCACTGTTTCGTTCAGAATATTTTTTCTCTTGTTCTCCTCCTCTTAAAAACTAGGTGCGTCTTATGGTCGGGTATTGCAAAATTCAGAGAAGGGCAAATTTCAAAGGATGGCTCTTGCAACTGGAAACTGTGAATTCAGCAGGTTTGCTTCTAAATGCAAATTCCATCCAATTTCTCTATCACCCCAAAGTGTAAATAGGCCTTTTGAATTCTGTAAGAAGCCTGTCTTCTCTTTCGGTTCAGCAGCGATGAGCTGTGCAAAAATACATTTCCTCAGGAGGTAGATGGGTCAGTCCCCCCGCCTTCTGTGTGCATGTGTTTTTTCCAGCTTTGGGGTGGGGAGGGATAAATCCTTTCCTTGCGAGGGAGGCGGGGCCTCCAAATCCACTCGGGGTTCACCGGATCCTTTCCAGCCTGAGCAGACTAGTGACCCACCGGCTGGGGTTTACCTCTGCCTCTGAGAGGTCAAAGGATCTCCTTCGGCTTTCCCACAGAGGGAGGTTTTGCTTCCTGAGACATTGAATTATGGCCAGAGAGAGTTCCTTTCCTGTCTGCTCCCCTTTACCGGAGATATTTACTCCTCTCTCTCACTCTCGCTTTCTCACCTCCCGGCTCTCCGCCTCTGTTTCCCCAAGACTCCCTCGCTGGAGCGCCTTGGGCGAAGGCAGCCAGCCAACAAAAGCTCCTTGCCATTTCCTTCCTCCCAGGCCAGCAATTTGGGACATGGGGCACCATGACCCGGGAGAGGCTGGTGCCAGGAAATTCGCGGCTCTCTCAAAGATGGGCAGCATTTCGTGCCGCTTCAGTGGCAGCAAGAGAAAAATTGCAAATTTTATGAATTAAGGAATAGAGTGGTGGTGTGCTGTGGGTTAAACCACGGAGCCTAGGACTTGCCAATCAGAAGGTCAGCAGCTCGAATCCCCGTGACGGGGTGAGCTCCCGTTGCTCGGTCCCTGCTCCTGCCAACCTAGCAGTTCGAAAGCACCTCAAAGTGCAAGTAGATAAATAGGTACTGCTCTGGCGGGAAGGTAAACGGCGTTTCCATGCCCTGCTCTGGTTCGCCAGAAGCGGCTTAGTCATGCTGGCCACATGACCCGGAAGCTGTACGCCGGCTCCCTCAGCCAATAAAGCGAGATGAGCACTGCAACCCCAGAGTCGGCGACGAATGGACCTAACGGACAGAGGTGCCTTTACCTTACCTGCATGCATCTGCACATACACCACTGCAAGATGAAAAACGGTCAAGTCCAATTGCAACCCTTCTCTAATCCCTGATTTGCAAATCCTCATTCCCAAAAAGAGGAGGAGGAGTTTGGATTTGATATCCCGCTTTATCACTACCCGAAGGAGTCTCAAAGCGGCTAACCTTCTCCTTTCCCTTCCTCCCCCACAACAAACACTCTGTGAGATGAGTGGGGCTGAGACACTTCAAAGAAGTATGACTAACCCAGCAGCTGCATGTGGAGGAGCGGAGACGCGAACCTGGTTCTCCCAGATTACGAGTCTATTGCTCTTAACCACTACACCACACTGGCACACTGTTATTTCATCATGTGGCTACATAGAAACTTCGCTCGTTTTTTTCTCTCTTTTGGGGGGAAATGTCACACTTTGCATGTGTTCACAGGGCCCAAGGGCAGTGAGTGTTGCTGCCATTCCCTTCTGGTTGTGCTTCTGCGCTTTTAGCAGGGTGCTTTAAAAAAAAAAAATCTTAACCAAGGGCAAATTGCTTTATGATCATAATTTTTAATGCTTCCTGTCATCACTTAAAAAATATTCATATGAAGTTGCACCATATAGTTAACAGGAAATTAAAAGTTAAACAGTTTGGTCTGACACATTATTCTAGTTCACGTTTGCTTGAGTGGTGCAGAAATATTAGCCTGCTCTGGATATGCTAAGGATCCTTGAGGCATTTCAGCAAGTTTTTTGTGCTGTGTGTTGATGTCTTCCAGAACCTGCTGCCAGCGTCGCAGTTTACCCAAGTGCTTCTGAATTAGTGCTTCCTTCCTCTGCAATTCATTTCTCAGTTCTGAAACATCCTCTTTAATTATCAGCTCTGGTTTCTGTGCGCATAACTGCAGCCTCTATTTTTTTGTAAGAAAAAAGCATTCCGTTTCCCGTGCAACATCTAAATATTTTTGGATACACAGGTCAATGCTACTTCTAATTTCTTCCTGGTCTGGACCAGACCCTGGTTTCTGAACACCCTGGTCAGGTCAGCCGCCATGTCCTAGCAGGTAGCATTTAAAGTTTTCCCTCCCTGTGGTGGATGATTAGACGAACTCTTGACTTGCTGGAAGGTGAGATGAAGGATTAGGGCCCAGGCTTCATCAAACTTGGCCCTCCAGATGTTTTGAGACTACAATTCCCATCATCCCTGACCACTGGTCCTGCTAGCTAGGGATCATGGGAGTTGTAGGCCAAAAACATCTGGAGGGCTGAGTCTGAGGAAGCCTGGATTAGGCGCAAACTTGTTTTACTTTCAGCTAAAGTTTCCTGCATTGCAGAGGGTTGGACTAGATAACTCTCAGGGTCCTTTTGAAAGCTACAATTCCATGATTCTAAAATCCAAGTGGTCATTTTTGTGAGAGGAGGAAACAGTGTGGAGTGAACCAGCAACAGAGGATGTGCTTAACCTGTCTTCACCCCCTATTATTCTATGGCAAACCTCTCTGCCCCACCCCAGAGTTTTTCTTTCCAGGGGGTTTGCAGGGCATATTTATGGAGTGAGCATGTGTCTTGAATCCCATATCGGGGAGAGGAATAGTGGGGGGCAGGAAGGGTGCATGTGAAAAATGTTGGGCAGGAAAAGGGTTCAGCACTGGTATCCTGCCACTTCACCATTAAACCTCCCATAGATGGGGTTGTGTGTAATGTTTAAGGATGGGGGACCAATTCAATTTAGTTTGCATTTAAAGGTGAAACCAACGCACACTTCTTGAAGCAACAGGCGCACTACACTGAAATGCAGCCCCCCTTCAAAATCTGCACTTCAACCAAATGTTGCGGTGAAGTTCTCCAATTGAGCAATGTGTCAAAAAAAAAATTATGCACCTCTTAGGGCAGTGTTTCTTAAACTCTGGTCTCCAGCTGTTGTTGGACTACAACTCCCATCATCATTTTGCTAACTAGGGATGATGGGAGTTGTAGTCCAACAGCTGAAGACCAGAGTTTGAGAAACACTGTCTTAGGGAAAGTGCCCACGAATCGAGGTACAGCCATACCTCATGTTATGTTTGCTTCATGCTACGTTCTTTCAGGTTACGTCCCGTGGCAACCCGGAAGTACCGGAAAGGGTTATTTCCCCCCCCCCCCATAAATAATTTTTATTTAAGTTTGAACAACAAAGAAAGAAAAGAAAAACATACACAATACATATCTCAAAAAAAGAAAAAAAAAAGATAACAAAAACACACAAAAAAGAACAAAATTCAACAATAAAAAACAAAAAACATAACAATTAAAAACAATATCTCTTTTCCATTTCCGTTTTTAAATTTACTTATTTTCTGGACTTCCTCATACCTCCCTCTTTTGTATTCCAATCCAAATTGTTTGTCCAGCAATTTCTTTTCAACTTTTTTAATCCCAATCTTTAACTTTAATATAATATTGTAATATATATCTTCAATTTCTTTAAACCTGATCTTTAATCTTAGTATAATATAACATTAAAATTTTCCCTCTTAATTGTCAGATTTCCATTTCCATTTCCATTTCCATTTCCGGAAAGGGTTATTTCCAGGTTTCACCGCTCGCGCATGCGCAGAAGTGGTGAATCACAACCCGCGCGTGCGCAGATGCACCACTGTGGGTTGCGCTCTTTTCATGTTGTGAACGGGCCTCCGGAACAGATCCTGTTCGCAACCAGAGGTACCACTGTATTGGTGAAAATTTATTTCATTGCTTCATTCCAACTCCAAGGTTCAATGACGCCTAGCCCCTTTCTCCTCCCGTTGCCCCCAGGGGAAAATAGTGCCATGTTTATTGCTGAACTACACAGCTAAGGTTGCCACCATTGTTCTGGCAAAAGACAGGACAGGGTGAGGCAGGGCAGTTGGGGGGCGATTTTTATTTATTTATGGGTTATCTGGTGCTGAAGTGACTTCAAATCAATCCATTACAATCTCTTGCAGTCTAACAGGATGGCCCCTCTGGAATTTGGCACACACAGGCTGCACACACATACACATTCATGACATGGGTGTAGCCAGGATTTTTTTTTGGGGGGGGGAGTGAGTTGTAGAGCTTCTTTTTAGGAGGTCACCCCCAAGCGTGGTTGAGCTTCTTTTGGGACGTAGCCCCCCAAATTTGTTCAGTTTCTTTTGGGAACATCACAAGTAAAAATCCAAAAAAAAAGAGGACATGGCAGGTTGCAGGCATTGGGGGGGGGTGTCTTCTGCTGAGGAGGCAGAATCTCAGTTATTTGAGTATTTTCAATGCTTTTTCAATCCTTTTTGAGGATTTGGAAGCTATGCTCACGACTCATGAATTTGTAAACCCGTCTGTGCTTTGCAGACCTCTTATACACCCTTTCACACTCATGCATTTGGAGAGAATCCCTAAACTGGCAGAGAGAGAGAGAGAGAGAACGAGAGACTTCAAAAACAAACTAAATAAATTAAAAAATTTAAAAAATTGTCCAGTAGCACCTCAGAGACCAACTAAGTTTGTTCTGGGTATAAGCTTTCGTGTGCATGCAAACTTCTTCAGAAGAAGACGAGGAAGACACCTGTGAGTGAATTTGCTTTATGCGTGTAGATCAGTGCACGCTGACCAACGCACAGTCTTCGCAGTAGGGCTCTGTTCCGATGAAGTAGTAACGACAAACTGGTAGATTCCTATCTGCTGCAGCCTTCCTCCGTCTTCACAGCCGTTGTAATGTACCCCTTGTTATCATCTGCCTGTTCTGCCGTTGAGGACTTCTTGGATCATTCTTCGTCTGACTCCTTCCCTTTGACCTTACCGCTTTGGGTGACCCTGCTGGGAGTACAAGATTCCCAACGGCTTCGCTCACAAGAGTCATAGGAACATGTAAGCCCACTCACCACGACAAGGTGATAATCCAGCGAGTGGGCAAATTTTAAAAAATGTAGTATAAACACCGACAACTGGGAAACACTGGCCTGCGAGCGCTCCAGCTGGAGAACAGCCTTTACCAAAGGTGTCATGGGGTTTGAAGACACTCGAACTCAGGACGCAAGGTGCTAAGAGGAAGGCATGCTTGGCAAATCCACACCGTGATCAACTCCTGCCCGGAAACCTATGTCCCCACTGTGGAAGGACGTGTGGATCCAGAATTGGCCTCCACAGTCACTTACGGACTCATTGTTAAAACTGTGTTTATGGAAGACAATCTTACTCAGCTACGAGGGATCTCCAAAGAAAGAAAAGAACACTTATTCAGATACAGTCATACCTCGGGTTGAATATGCTTCATGTTGAGCGCGTTTCAGTTACGCTCCACGGCAACGGAGCACGTTACTTCCAGGTTTCACCGCTCGCACATGCGCAGATGCTCAAACTGACGTCACGTGCATGCACAGAAGTGACGAAACGCGATGCGTCCGTGTGCAGATGTGGCGACGCTAGTTACATTTGCTTCTGGATGTGAACGGGGCTCCGGAAGGGATCCCGTTCGTATCCAGAGGTACCCCTGTACACAGATACAGCACAAACTGTTAGCAATACAGGACGTAGCATTTTACATTGAAATACAGGACACATATGTGTGTTTTTGTATGCAGTGTTTGGGAGGAAATAAGACGGTAAATAACAAACTAAATATTGATGTATGTAATTTTTATTTCTTAATTATATTTAGTGGTAGTATGGCTGTATTGTTTTTTGTAACATAAAATCATTCAATAAAAATTATTTCTAAAAAAGAAGAAATACAGGACACTCCTGTATTATAACAGGACGGGTGGCAACCTTCTGCGCAAACACTGGCGGTGGATTCGACGCAGCGACACATCCCCTTTGCCCGGCCAGACGGCTCCAGAAACCGGATCAGACCCGTCTTCCCATTGGCCAGGCCGGCGAGGGATGCTCCGCTCCCCGCGCCGCGATTGGCCGGCGCGCATTCCACCGTGGCCGCTCGCCTCCGCCCTGCGCCTTTTATAGCTATATCTAGACGGCGCCTTGGCCAGCGCCGCAGAGCGCGGCTCCGGGACGCGCGGCTAGGCGTCGGCCAGAGTTTCCCCGCGTCGGACGCGCCTCCGCGGGGCTCGGGCCGTTGCAGAGAAGCGGCGGCTCTCCTTTCCTCCCACCCCCGACGGCGCGGCCATGGCGTTCGCGCTGCTGCGCCCGGTGGCGGCGCGCGTCCTGTACCCGGAGCTGCGCCTGCTGTCGGAGGAGGACGACGCGTCGGAGGACGACGAGGAAGCGCGCAGCGGAGGCAGCAGCGACGCGTCGGAGCGCTCCTTCGGCTGCTGTCCAGCCGCCGCCCGGCCGTCCGGCGGGCCGGTGGTGGTGGTGAAGCAGCGGCAGGCGGCCAACGCGCGCGAGCGGGACCGGACGCAGAGCGTGAACACAGCCTTCACGGCGCTGCGCACCCTCATCCCCACCGAGCCGGTGGACAGGAAGCTCTCCAAGATCGAGACGCTGCGCCTGGCGTCCAGCTACATCGCACACCTGGCCAACGTGCTGCTCCTGGGCGACGGCGCCGACGACGGGCAGCCCTGCTTCCGCGCCCTGTGCGGGGCCAAGGGAGACGTGATGGAGCCGGGCAAGCAGCCGCGCAGCATCTGCACCTTCTGCCTCAGCAACCAGAGGAAGGGGGTGAGTCCTGCTGCCCGAGGGGGCTGCGGGTGCGGGAGTCCAGGATAGCTTAGAAGCGCTCAGCGCTCGGGTCCCTAATCCTTCACCTGGAAGCAGGGGCATAGCCAATATTTTTGTGGGAGGGGGGAGAAACTTGTTGGAGGGGCAGACGCGATGGGTCAGTTAAGTACAGTGGTACCTCGGGTTACATACACTTCAGGTTACAGACACTTCAGGTTACAGACTCCGCTAACCCAGAAATAGTACCTCGGGTTAAGCACTTTGCTTCAGGATGAGAACAGAAATCTTGCTCTGGCGGCACAGTGGCAGCAGTAGGCCCCATTAACTAAAGTGGTAAAGGTAAAGGGACCCCTGACCATTAGGTCCAGGAGTGGCCGACTCTGGGGTTGCGGCGCTCATCTCGCTTTATTGGACGAGGGAGCCGGCATACAGCTTCTGGGTCATGTGGCCAGCATGACTAAGCCGCTTCTGGCAAACCAGAGCAGCGCACGGAAACACCGTTTACTTTCCCGCCGGAGCGGTACCTATTTATCTACTTGCACTTTGACGTGCTTTCAAACTGCTAGGTGGGCAGGAGCAGGGACCGAGCAACGGGAGCTCACCCTGTCGCGGGGATTTGAACCGCCGACCTTCTGATTGGCAAGTCCTAGGCTCTGTGGTTTAGCCCACAGCACCCTCAGGTTAAGAACAGTTTCAGGTTAAGAACGGACCTCTGGAACAAATTAAGTTCTTAACCCTGAAGTACCACTGTATTTCTATGGCCCCCCTCCTTGCTACACCCATTCCTGGAAGCAACTACTCAGCAGCACTCTGTGCATGTTCAGAGGCACGCTTTGTTTGGCAATCGTGGCCCCTGTTGCAAGGCAGGGGCCTGGCATGCAGAAGCAACTCTCCAGGGTGGGGAGGTTTATAAAAGCCCTCATTTCCCAGGGAGCTAGCAGATTGTTCCCTTACACACAGGTCAGTTTTGCTTCTCCTGTGAAAACCCTAGGTGGGAGGTAGGAAATTGCCTCCTCCTATCAGCTGAGGGGATTCCAATCAGGCCAGCAGAGTTGGTTCTTCATTTTATGTGTTTGTATATCCCTGTGCTTTTTATAGGCTGCGACAAACAGTGCTTGACTCCAAACCCTCTGTTCAGGACCAGAGCTAAGACTTGAATCAAATGTGATAATAATAATAATAATAATAATAATAATAATAATAATAAACAACTTTTATTTATATCTCACCCTCCCCAGCCAAAGTCGGGCTCAGGGTGGCTAACATCAAATATATAACACTGGTATAAAATCAAACAATAATTAAATTACTTCCTAGAAACAGGTCAGAATCAAATTAAAGTCTAATTAGATGGCTTCCCGCAGGGTTATGGTTGGGAACAGTAAGTGCTCATCAGGAGAGGGTGTCTCTGGACATGCGCAGAATGCTTTCCTCTTACTGTTTAAGCAGGGGGGCACACCTGCACTCACCAGGTTGGGGGGAAAACGCTGGAATTCCTGGCTTCTCCAAAGACTTCAGTGCGGAAACTTCCAATGCTAGAAGTTTATTCCCCTTTGTGCAGATGGGTAGACTGAGGTTGGGAGATGGTGGCTAGCCCTTTGTTCATTGATGAATGAGTCTAGGTCCTGATCTAACACCAGCCCTCTAGAATTCTTTTTATTGATTGCATTTATACCCCAACTTTTGCTCCTCCTCAAGTGTGGCATACATCTCCCCTCTCTTCATTTAATCTCCACATCAACCCTGTGAAGTAGGTTAGACTGAGGGGCCATCACTGGCCCAAGGTCACCCAGTGAAGCTCCATGGCAGAGGTTGTAATTGGACACGCTAACCACAAACCTCTAGGATAGCAAGGCACAGTGTTAGTTCTGAGTGCTTGCATATACTGCCTGTTTTCCATCTATTTCCTGCATCTCCCCACTGCAAAATAGTGATTGGGGGGCTGTAGTCAGACATGGCTTCCATCTCTACTGGACTGGCCCTCCTGGACCCGATCCACTCTTCTGACAGCAGGGAGATGAGGAGGCTTTGGCCTTCATAACTTGCTGGTGGGCCACTTGCATAAAACAGGATCCTGGAGTCAAATGATCTTTGGTCTGATCCAGCTGGGCAATTTTTGTCTTTTGAGGTAGTTAGCGCAACCAACACATCCTCAAAATATTTGAGCCTCCTACAGGCAACCGATTTTGCACAGCATTCATCCTGATTTGCTTATATCAGGGGTCAGCAAACTTTTTCAGCAGGGGGCCGGTCCACTGTCCCTCAGACTTTGTGGGGGCCCGGACTATATTTTGGGGCAAAAAATGAATTTATTCCTGTGCCCCACAAATAACCCAGAGATGCAATTTAAATAAAAGCACACATTCTACTCATGTAAAAACACCAGACAGGCCCTACAAATAACCCAGAAATGCATTTTAAATAAAAGCACACATTCTACTCATGTAAAAACATGCTGATTCCCGGACCGTCCTTGGGACGGATTTAGAAGGCGATTGGGCTGGATCCGGCCCCCGGGCCTTAGTTTGCCTACCCATTACTTTCAGCGGTTCGCAACCTGTGGGTCCTCAGATGTTGTTGGACCACAACTCCCATCATCCCTGAGCTCTGGCCTTGCTAGCTAGGGGTGATGGGAGTTGTAGTTCAACAACATCTGGGGACCCACAGGTTGAGAAAGGCTGGCTTATATGGCGGTTAGGGTGCGCCCAGTATTTTTTGAGCACTCATCCTGTTCTGCTTGATGGGGGGAGTGTCTCTACATCTTCCCATTCAGGCACTCCACACTTTTTGACCCACTTGTATCAAAAGCGGTTTTGTTGTGCCAGGGCAAGAGAACTGTTAAATTTGCACACACCTGAAATTCTGGTGTATGAAACAGACAGTCTGGAGGCATCGCCAGTCCGAGCTGCATTTCCTTGTAGGAGGAGTTGGTTAGAGCAGGCATGGTTCCCTGTTTTTTTCCTGAAAACCCGATTTTCAAATTACACTGAATATATATGTTTCAATGGAGATACGGGAACAAAACACCAAGAAGACGCACAACGGTAGACAAAAATCCGTTTCAGCTGCTCAGTCTTTTCCAGTTCACTTTGTTTTCTCAGTTGTCAATGGAGAAAGTGATAACATTCAGTTCCTGGTTCCAAATAATGTTTTTTTGTGTTTGCTTTAGGGATCCTTGTTGTTGTTCTTTGTCCTGATTTAGTATAATAAGACTGCTTCCGATATTCCTTTATAAGGTTGCTTGCAAGCTGGGGTTAGTTTGGGTTTATATAGAGAGAGAGAGAGCAAACTGTGTCTCAGCACTGCCATGGCTTGGGCTGTTGCATCAGCCACAGAGTCTACTGCTTGTGGAATGGCAACCAGGAGGTCTTTGGGCAGACAGAGGTAGAAGGAAGAATAACAAACCATGGTTGGCTTGTGTGTGTCTGATGCAGAACATGCAATAGTCTATGGCTAGTACAAACCATGGGCTATTGTAATGTCTGAACCAGCCTATATATATTCAGTAATGGCTGGGGGAGCCAGCATACCGTCACCATTGGGTGACAGTGGCCTTTAGCGTTATGGAGGGCCAAAGGTTCCCCACCCCTGATCTAGGGACTCCCCATTGATTCTGGTGGGTTTGGTATCCTATTATGAAAACTGGGGCTTGCCCCTTGATCTCTAGCATGACAACGACATGGGGAGGAAGGGGTTATTCTGTTCTTGCAGAGTTGCCTAAAAATTCTTTAGGCCAAGCCTGTTTAATGTCTGCAGGTCAGTTTTATACTGATGCTCTGTTGCACCAGCAAACATTTCACGCTTGCATCTCCTGAGGGGACTGAAGGATTTGCACCAACGCGTGAGCCTCAGAGCATCTTTTATGAATGAGCTTTTGCTGTCTTTCCTCTTCTGAAACCTTGTAGGCTAGGGTTACCAGACGTCTCTGGTTCCGGGGAACACTCCCTGGATTTGCAAATCCGTCCCCGGACAAATTCTGTCACCAGAATGCCCCCAGATTTGCAAATCTGTCCGCAGGAAACGTGGCAGCAGCAACCTCAGCAGCCCAGAGCCAGCCTGGTAGCGCAGTTGGCTCTGGCTGGCTTCATAAACTGCTTGCTGCCATGGCGCCTGCCACTTTTCCTCACCGGAAGTCCCCATATGATGTGTTACCCATTCAGGCATAGGCATGATGCTCTGCCTAAGACCGAGCTAATATTATTAATAATAAATAATAATAATTTATTTATTACTTATACCTCGTCCATCTGGCTGGGTCTCCCCAGCCACACTGGGCGGCTCCCAACAGAATATTAAAAACACAATAAAACATCAAACATTAAAAACTTCCCTAAAGAGGGCTGCCTTCAGATGTCTTCTAAAAGTCAGACAGTTGTTTATTTTCTTGACATTTGATGGGAGGGGTGTTCCAGAGGGTGGGCGCCACCACCGAGAAGGCCCTCTGCCTGGTTCCCTGTAACCTCACTTCCCCCAGTGAGGGAACCACCAGAAGACCTCGGAACTGGACCTCTGTGTCCAGGCCGAATGATGGGGGTGGGGACGCTCCTTCAGGTATACTGGGCTGAGGCCATTTAGGGCTTTAAAGGTCAGCACCAACACTTTGAATTGTGCTCAGAAATGTACTGGGAGCCAATGTAAGTCTTTCAAGCCCGGTGTTATGTGGTCTCGGTGGCTGCTCCCAGTCACCAGTCTAGCTGCCACATTCTGGATTAGTTGTGGTTTCCGGGTCTCCTTCAAAGGGAGCCCCACGTAGAGCACATTGCAGTAGTCCAAGCGGGAGATAACCAGAGCATGCACCACTCTGGTGAGACAGTGCGCAGGCAGGGAGGGTCTCAGCAGACTAAACAATTCCATGCTAACTGGACCTTCTGTGGCAGAATGGGGCTGTGTGACTGGCTGTTAACTAGAAAGTTGGTGGTCTGAGCCCACCCAGGAACAGCTGATTGGACTAGATGAGGGGTCCTCATTCTGTGATTCTATTTTGATCTGCATCTGCAGCATCCTGTGTTCCTTATCGGGGTTCCTAGATGCTAACAGCACCACTAACAGCACGTGAGCTTCACAGGGAGACTGATTGTGTCTCTGTGTAGTCTAGCTTCAGTAATCAGGACGCATGTATCATCTCCCCATCTTTGGGTCTTTGCAGCACTTTAACGGGCTGTCAAGGGAATTCAATTTTGTTGGGAGCAGTGGCTTTTAACAGGACATTTTCACAACGTGACATTCAGCTGAATTTTACAGCCAAAGTGTAGAATCCAGCAGCAGGAATAAAATCATATTGAACATTCCTGCGCTGTAGGGGGTTGGACAAGATCAGGCATAGGCAAACTCGGCCCTCCAGGTGTTTTGGGACTACAACTCCCATCATCCATAGCTAACAGGACCAGTGGTCAGGGATGATGGGAATTGTAGTCCCAAAACATCTGGAGGGCCGAGTTTGCTTATGACTGGACTAGATGATTCTCATAGTCGCTCCCAATGCTACAATTCTGTGATTAGCAGCTTCATTCAATAGCTTCTAATTACTGGAAGAGCACATGGATTTGATGTATAATGCCCAGTCTAGCATCTCTGGTTGCAGAGAAAGACATCTGGTGGTCAGCAAACAGACAACTGTATTGATTTTCGAAGAGCAATGCTCTGCTCCAAATATTAAGCAGTCTTCACCAATCCAGTGCCCTCCAGATGTTCTGCAACTGCAACTCTTCCCCAGCCACCATGGCCAATGATCAAAGATAATGGGATCTGTAGTGTAAAGCAACTTCACAGGTTGTTGGAAGGAGAAAGGGGAATGTTGGCAGGATCACAGCGGTGTGTGGGTTTTGTCCTTCAAGCCACGGTAGTTTCAACTTCCAAAAATGGAGAAGACGACGAGGGGAGCCCAGGATATGCTTGTGTTTTGTTTTGAAAAAATGGCTCGATCAAAAAATTTTCTTTCTAAGTGCTGGGAAGGAGTGCGACCTTTTTGATTTCCAAAGTGACTGGAGGAGAGCCTTAATCTAGGGCTCAGCCTGGGAGCTGGCTGTCATTCCAGACTCGCTCCGGCTTCCGGCTATTCCCCAGCTGGTGATGACATCATGACCTTCGCCATGGCAACCTTCTGTGAGGCCATAAGCAAGACTCCTGGCGGGGAGAGGCAGGAAGGGCGACGCTCCAGGTCCCATGCCCCCTTCTGCCAAAACGGCCGTTGCTCTTAGTCCCTTAAGGTCTGGGCGCATCTCCTCCCGCACGTCACATGCTGGAACATGCTGGCTATGCGCTTTCTCCAACCAGAGATGGCAACCCGGATGCACATTGCTGAAAGGGGGAGAGATGGTAGATCAGCTTGCATGAGTTGTGCGTGCGGAAGGTTCTGGGTTCAATCCCTGCTATCTCCAGGGAATGAACCCTGCCTGGTATCCTGAAGGGTCTCTGCCAGTTGCTGCGGGCAGCAGTGAGCTTGGTGGAGCCAAGAGGCCAGACTCACAGTGCAAGGCAGATTCCCAGGTTCCATGTGGTGTGCCTGCTTCCCCTGCAAAAGCCTCTCCTCTCCCAAGTTTGAAAAGCAAAGGCGTTCGTTCTTTCAGTTTCTGTATTTAAGGTTGGGAAAATAAGTAGCCTGAAAAATTCATTTCTCTACATTTCTGCTCCACTTTGCAAGTCCTTGTCACTGGATTTTAAAGCCCTTTTGAAAAATTGTCAGCATCAATTGGATGCATGAGGACCATCTGATCCAAGTCCCTGCAATGCAGGAATCTTTTGCCCAACATGGGGCTTGAACCCATGAACTCTGCAGTTAAGCCCTTTGTGGCTTAAGGCCCTCGTATCTATGGGACCGCCTCTCCTGGTCTGCCCCTCAGAGGACCTTAAGGTCCATGAACAACCATAGTTCAGAGGTCCCTAAGGAAGTTAGATTATCCTCCACCAGGGCCAGGGCCTTCTCAGTGATGGCTCCCACCTGGTGGAATGCTCTGTCCCATGAGACCAGGGCCCTTCAGGATTTAACCTCCTTCCGTCAGGCCTGTAAGACAGAGCTATTCCGCCTGGCCTTTAATTTGAATTCAGCCTGATCTTTTATTTCCCTTCCCTTCCCTCCCCCTCCCCTTTTATGAAGATTACCCGCTCTGAGACCCCACAGCTAATTCTCCCCTGGCCTCCTCGCTGGCCCAAGTAGGACCAATTCAGCCAGCTAGCCCTGGGGATTACCTAATGTTTATTTCCCCTAAATTGATTTTTGAATTTTATTGTTATTCATGTTTTTATACTGTATTTTATGCTGCTTTTATAATTATAATTTTATAATTTGTTGTTAGCCGCCGTGAGCCCAGTTTTTGAACCGGGAAGGGCGGGGTATAAATAAATTTATTATTATTATTATTATTATTATTATTATTATTATTATTACTGATGCTGGACTAGATGGGCCATTGACGTGATCTAGCAGCCTCTTGCATTCTTCTGCTTACTGGGAGGCACAAGGGGAAGGTGGGGCAGCAGCAAGGTTGGTGCTCTGCAAGCAGACAGGTGGAGCCTACTTGGCATTCCCTCCAGCAAATCTGCACTGGGCAAACCTCACCCCAGCTTCACCCCTACCCCTTACCCTCCTGGCGATCAGCAGTGACAAAACTGACCATAGGTCAGGTGACTGGTGACCAACGCTGCTGTTGGGCTGATCCGGAATCCTTGGTTGTTCCTATGTGTGTGTGTGTGTGAAGGCATTATTCAGAATAGCGCTTTGCACAACCCACTAAGAAAGATAATAGCACAATAAAATTCAGAACAGAAGCAACTGCACACTTACTCACAATGATATTAAAGTTGGAGGTCTAAATGATTATCAGACTTTGGAAAACCTGGTATTACTGGGTCAAGATCATCATTTCCTGTTGCATTAAACTTAAATTCAACAGAACTGATGAACTTGACCCAGTGGTACCAGGTTTCCCAAAGTCTAATAGTCATTAACAGCTACACCTCTTGCCCCCTTGTCTTTTGGTGACCCCATAAGTAATCCACACCCCACCCAGAAGGCAGTACCACCCACTTTGAGAGCTGATGCCCTAGAGAATTCTGGGACATGGGTGTTGTTAGAGGGTAGCCCAGGGTGACTGAACCTTGCGTCTTTCACACCGGGCTTTAGAAAGCGTTATTTTCACTTTGCTTACAGTACTGGTGAGACCTCAGCTACTTGCCGTCTTAATTTGCCCAGAGATATCTCTACACTTTGGGGATGCGGGTGGCGCTGTGGGTTAAACCACAGAGCCTAGGACTTGCTGATCAGGAGGTCGGCGGTTCGACCGCGACGGGGTGAGCTCCCACTGCTCGGTTCCTGCTCCTGCCAACCCAGCAGTTCGAAAGCACGTCAAAGTGCAAGTAGATAAATAGGTACCACTCCAGCGGGAAGGAAAACGGCATTTCCGTGCGCTGCTCTGGTTCGCCAGAAGCGGCTTAGTCATTCTGGCCACATGACCTGGAAGCTGTACACTGGCTCCCTTGGCCAATAAAGTGAGATGAGCGCCGCAACCTCAGAGTCGGTCACGACTGGACCTAATGGTCAGGGGTCCCTTTACCTTTACCTATCTCTACACTTTAAGTAACGCACATACCCTGAGCCTTTTCAATACCTAGTAATGACCCTGTTCTGAGACCAGTGGCAGGATTCTGGCTCTCAAACATCAGCAGCCCCCTGCGTGGCACTAAAATTTGGCGACCCGCACCTCTTGCGCTCTGTTCTGCAGCATTGCAATGGTGCCCGCTGCGGCCAAACCGGGTGTGCCACCCTAAAACCGCCTCTGCCTAGGGATTCAGATCGCATGAGCACTGGCTGCTGGGCTGAGATGTTCCCTTGAAATGAATCAAATGGTGCATCGCAGGAGAAGGTTGAGCCTGGAGAACAAGGTGCCTTCCAAGCCAGCTAGGCTGCCGTGAATGACTTTGGGGTGCCAAGTGGCAAAAGGCTTAAACTAGCCTGGCAAAGCCTCACCCACCAAGACCGAACTCTATGCTCCCCAATTGGTGTAAAAGGTAAAGGTAAAGGGACCCCTGATCATTAGGTCCAGTCGTGGCCGACTCTGGGGTTGCAGCGCTCATCTCGCTTTATTGGCCGAGGGAGCCGGCGTACAGCTTCCAGGTCATGTGGCTGGCATGACTAAGCCGCTTCTGGTGAACCAGAGCAGCACACAGAAACGCCGTTTTCCTTCCCGCTGGAGTGGTACCTATTTATCTACTTGCACTTTGACGTGCTTTCGAACTGCTGGGTTGGCAGGAGCAGGAACCGAGCAGTGGGAGCTCACCCCGTCGCGGTCGAACCGCCGACCTCCTGATCAGCAAGTCCTAGGCTCTGTGGTTTAACCCACAGCGCCACCCACGTCCCTCCCCAGTTGGTGAGTAGAGAGTTAATCCTGATCTCTGCAGGATTGCTAAGTGACAGGAACTGGTGGGCAGGTGGATATGGTTTGGGAGGTGGGAATGGTCTCACCAGCTAATGGTTCTCACCCCCTACCACAGATAATTATCTTTGCATGCATTGGTTTGAAACTAGCTTTTTTCTTTTCTTGCAGCTGCTGTTCATAAACGAAAGGAAATGTTGCTAGGGATGGTGGGGAGGGAGTGTCACAGTACCGATCTGGATTGTCCCAAAACGTGACCCTTACTCAGAGTTCATTAGTTGAAAACGTCTTTGGCAATGCAACATGCAGCTTAGGGCCATGCCTGCAGGATGGTGAGCCTTAGTCCGGAGGGTAGGTGTAGCCCCCCAGGCATCTCTGTCTTGCCCCCAGGACTCTCTCCAGGTCACACCACCCTCTGAGCTGCCCCCTTTACCATCCCCATTTTGCCCCATCCTCAAGTGCTTTTCGCTTGCCTAAAAAGATGCTACGTCTTGCTTGCCTGGAAAGAGGATAAGTGAGCGTTGTGTGAACGTGACACCGCTTCTGTACAAAAGGCATTGATTGCCCTGCCCTCTTTGGCCCCTGGAACGTTACACAGACGGGAAGGTGGCCCTCCATCTAGATTATCCTCCACCAGGGCTGGGGCCTTCTCAGTGATGGCTCCGACCTGGTGGAATGCTCTGTCCCATGAGACCAGGGCCCTGCAGGATTTAACCTCCTTCCGCAGGGCCTGTAAGACAGATCTATTCCGCCTGGCCTTTAATTTGAATTCAGCCTAATCTTTTATTCCCCTTCCTTCCCTCCCCCTGCCCTTTTTATGAAGATTACCCGCTCTGGGATCCCACAGCTAATTCTCCCCTGGTCTCCTCACTGGCTCAAATAGGACTAATTTAGCCAACTAGCCCTGGTGATCATCTAATGTTTATTGGATGGATTTTCCCTCTATATTGATTTTATTGTTATTTATGCTTTATACCGTATTTTATGCTGTTTTTTTGTAGCATCAATTAAGTGTTTTAAATTTGTAGTTAGCCGCTCTGAGCCCAGTTTCCTGAACCGGGAAGGGCGGGGTATAGATAAAAAATTATTATTATTGTCTGAAAAGAGTCCCCCACCCTGGCGTAGTGACTAAGAAGCTGAGGTTCAAATGGGGGAGCCTGCCGCAATTTCAGGCTTGTGAGTCCACCGGGTGAGTGGGTGACTTCAGGCCCCTTCCATCATCCGTCTAATAACATTGGCCTACCTTGGGAGGTTCTTGTGACTGTTGCAAGACAATGCAGGTGAATTGCTTTACTTGCTGTGTTTCTGCTTCCTCTCCAGGGAGCTCAGTGTGGCATGAATTCCCCCCTCCCCGTTTAATCTGCACAACAACCCTGTGAGGTAGGTTAGGCTGAAGGGCAGTGAATGACCCCACCCCAGTCACTACCTATTGAGCTTCATGGCCGAGTGGGGGTGCAAACCCTGGTCATAGCTGTCAACTTACAGATTTGAAAATAAGGGACCAGCAGCCTCGAAAATAAGGGATCAGCAGCCAAAATAAGGGATCAACAATTACTTTGATAAAATACGTATTTTGTTGCGTGCAAATGGCTTTAGATACCTATTAGTTCCATACATTACCATATAGCATATATTCAACACAAAAAACACAGCAACAATTTGTTCTTGACAAAGCACAGCTGGACGCAGAAAGGACAACATCAGGAGCTTATTTAAGGGACATCATCAATAAGGGACAGCAGCGGGACATGGCGCTGGGATAAGGGACTGTCCCGCCAAATAAGGGACGCTTGACAGCTATGACCCTGGTCTTCCACAGCTCCTAGTCTACCATTCTAACTGAAACTGTTAGAAACTGAAATATAGAAGCTAATCGCCAAATAGCACCTTAGGTTACAGCTGCCACAACGGAATGTTTCCTGTTTTTCCCATTTTTCCCTGATGAGATTTATTGCTATTATTATTCATTTAATTTCTATACAGCTTTGAATTTTAAAGGAAAAAAATATTCAGTGCTGTTTACCTTAAAACGTAACACAAAACAATTGAGAAACAACTAATTGTGTGGTGTAGTGGTTAAGAGCGGTAGTCTCGTAATCTGGGGAACCGGGTTCGCTCCTCCACCTGCAGCTGCTGGGTGACCTTGGGCCAGTCACACTTCTCTGAAGTCTTTCAGCCCCACTCACCTCACAGAGTGTTTGTTGTGGGGGAGAAAGGGAAAGGAGAAAGTTAGCCACTTTGAGACTCCTTCGGGTAGTGATAAAGCGGGATATCAAATCCAAACTCTTCTAATTCAAGCTTCAAGGAAAATATTTCAGATCCTTCTCTAAATGACAATTGGCTTTACCGATATTTATTTATATGGAACTCCTATTTGGGGACTTCCCTGGCTTTTTCCTGGCCCATGTAGGACCAGTCTGGATAGTTAGCCTTGGTGAAGACTTGACGTTTTCATCCCAAAAAAAGTTTTTGATTTGAGTTTCCAATGAAATGAGGCTGTATTTTAATGTTTTAATGTTGTATTTTAAACTTGTTTTTAAGTTGTATTTCAATCAATTGTTTTTATATTGGGTGTTAGCCGCCCTGAGCCCGGTCTTGGCTGGGGAGGGTGGGGTATAAGAAGTAAGAAGATTATGTAGTAGATAGTAGTAGTAGTAGTAAGCCTACTTCATTTATGTAGCTGCCACAGAGCAGAAGGACTCTAGGAAGGCAGTGTGGTGTAGTGGTTAGAGTGTCAGACTTGGACCTGGGAGATTAGGGTCTTCGCCTACCTCACAGGGTTGTCGTAGGGATTAATTAAAGAGAGAGGTGAACCATGTACTCTTTGGAGGAAAGGGGGGGTATAAATGCAATAAATAAGCTTTTCTGCTGACCTGCTTAAGAAAGCTAGAGGGGCCAGCCAGATGTCAGTCATCAGTCTGGCGTCCAGAGATCTCCATGTGGTCACGATTGGGCCCGTGCCAGTCGCAAAACACGCCCGGTGCCTGGGGAATTTCTTTTTTTATATATAAATTTTTATTAGTTTTTTAAACATATCATTTTCAACAGTAATTAAACATACTTTTACATCTTATTCAATTTTTCTGACTTCCACCAGTCCTGTCTGAAAATTTTCCAATCTAATCTCTTAGTATGCATTTCTTATTTCCCCTATTACATTTCAAACTCATAACCAATATCTCTATCTTTTCCTACTTTGTAACACTTCCTATATTTCTCCTTACAAAACTTCTTGTAGTCCTACTAGCGTAATTTGGTGCCTGGGGAATTCCTAGCACTGACTCCAACCACTGGACCCCACAGCCTTGGGCAGGTCCGGCACTTCTTTCAACGCTTTCTCTGCCTTCCTTCCAGGGCATCCGCCGGGATCTGGGCGGAGGCAACTGCCTGAAGGCAAGAGGCGTGAGCCACCTCAAGGTGCTGCGGAGATGAGACGAAGCAGAGACAACCGCCTGTCTGAGAAGCCAAGGTGGGCTTGACGCCTGGGGCGGCTTGAGTTGGATGTTCCTGACTGGGGCAAGAGGGTAGGGTGACTGGAACCAGGGTGGGCTCGGTGCTGGCAGGTGACAATCTCCAAGACGACGGGGAAGCTGGCCCTGCGGACTCGGGGGAGACGGGAGAGGGTGGGAACGAACCCCCCTCCGAACCGAGCTGCTGCGCAACGAGGGATTGTGGTTTGCCAAGGAGAGACGGACAAGCCATTCCTTGGACTTCTGCCCAGATCCAGGAGGAGTCACTCCGCCACCGGTGCTTTTCCAGTAGGGGAGAGGGCACGAGAACTTAGTGGATCCCGGGGGGGTGGCAGGGGCTCCTGAGAACTCTAGCCTACTTTCGAATGGACAACATTGAAACAGAGCTTTATCCAAGATGATTGCTGGTCCGTATGATCGCTGTCGGTAGTTGTTGTTATTTCCTCATTCAGCGGGGCTCGAAAATAAAGTTATTTTTCACATCCTCGGGTGACTCTCTGTTTGCTGCTGCGTCCCGGAGTCTTCCTTTATTCTCAGAGGCTCATCCCACTAAGGAGAGCTTGGCTTGGCCCCCATCCCACTTACTAATAAAAATGAAATGGTTCTCAATAAAATAAAGCAAAGCTAAAGAGCAGAATGAACTGAAGCTGCAGCAAGCTGGAAGCAGCGTAAGGTTGGGCGTTATCAGGGAACAGATTTCCGTAATGTTTCTAGCTGAGAACAATTCCAAAAGGGTGTGTGTGTGAAATCGTAGAACTACAGGGCTACAGGACTATGGCGGTCATCTAGTCCAACTCCCTGCAATGCAGGAATCTTTTGCCCAGCGTGGGGCTCGAACCCACGACCCAGAGATTGAGAGTCTAATGCTCTACAGACCGAGACTCTGAAGCTCCACGTGATTCGAGCCTCAGGCTTACGAACTGAGCTATTTGATCAACATCTCCAACATTTATCCAAGCCTAACTTGCATATTAAAGGGACACGGGTGGGGCTGTGGTCTAAACCACAGAGCCTAGGGCTTGCTGATCAGAAGGTCAGCGGTTCGAATCCCTGCAGCAGGGTGAGTTCCCGTTGTTCAGTCCCTGCTCCTGCCAACCTAGCAGTTCGAAAGCACGTCCAAGTGCAAGTAGATAAATAGGTCCGGCGGGAAGGTAAACGGCGTTTCCATGCGCTGCTCTGGTTCGCCAGAAGCGGCTTAGTCATGCTGGCCACATGACTCAGAAGCTGTACGCCGGCTTCCTCAGCCAGTAAAGCGAGATGAGCGCCGCAACCCCAGAGTCGGTCACGACTGGACCTAATGGTCAGGGGTCCCTTTACCTTTACCTTTTAACTTGCATATTAACTTCACATTATAAGGTGTTAAATACCATTGATATAGGGCTTTAAAGTAGCCCTTTAAAGGTAAAGGGACCCCTGACCATTAGGTCCAGTCGCAAACAACTCTGGGGTTGCAGCGCTCATCTCGCTTTAAAGGCTGAGGGAGCCGGCGTTTGTCCACAGTTTTTCCGGGTCATGTGGTCAGCATGACTAAGCCGCTTCTGGCACAACACCATGGCAGAAACCAGAGCACACGGAAACGCCGTTTACCTTCCCGCCAGAGTGGTACCTATTTATCTACTTGCACTTTGATGTGCTTTCAAACTGCTAGGTTGGCAGGAGCTGGGACCGAACAATGGGAGCTCACTCCGTCACGGGGATTTGAACTGCCGACCTTTCAATCGGCAAGCCCAAGCCACACAGTGGTTTAACCCACAGCGCCACCCGCGTCCCATAGTAGTCCTTTAGGTCTGATGAAATTCTATTACGGTGGAAGTCATCCTGATTTTTTAAATAAAAACTCACAGCAGTGAACCTTTGCATCAACTGATCCTTATGTTGACAGGTCGCACCGAGAGCTCAGCCAAATTTGCACACCGTGTCCCCTGGATTAGGGTACAATAGCTTGCAGTGGGGGACACCACTGGAAACTCGCAACATGGGAAGGAACATGTCTGATTTATCTGGTCTGGGAAAGGTGAAGGGTGTTGAGGGTGACTCTATGGCCTTGGATGACTCAGAGGCTGTCCAGCCCAGCTGTGGAGACAGGAAGCTTGGGATTCATTTCCTAATAGGCCTGCACGATTCCCTTTTATAGACCGGAGCCTTCATTGGCCAGTTTAAAGACCTTCCCTTCCCAGCCTCTTAAATTGGTCTTTATCGCAAGGGTCAAGAAAGCTGCTTGGAGGTGCTCAGCAGAGCCAGTTTCGGAGGGTCAGGGACTGGCAGGAACCCCAGGTGTGGCCAAAGGGAGCGGGCGCTGCCCCACCAGCACTGCTGCGCCCACAAAAGTCAGAGAAAGCACACGAGAAGACAGGCTGCTCCGGGTTCTTGCTGTGCTCAGGGACCCCCGAGCTACAGTTGCTGGTCAGGATGGGGTTAACCAGCTGATGGATTTGCTTTGCTGTGAATCATGATGAGGTTTTGCTCAAGTTAAAGTTCCTTTTTTTCTTGCATGGACTCTCTCGGGCTTCTTTTAGGGCTGCCAGCCAATTAAAGGATGTTCAGCTTATTTTTGTTTGTTTGCTTGCTTGTTAAAATTTGTATGCTGCCCTTCATCTGTTGACCTCGAGGCAGTTCACAACATGCAAATGCAAGATAAAAAACACAAAATACATGACAAACCAATAATCCTCCCTCCCACAACACATTTTAAAGGGTATTGAATGTTAATCAGCCCAAGAAAGGCCTGATTGAAGAGAAACATTTTTTTTTTTTTTTTGCATTTCAAAGCTGTATAATAAAGGTGCCAGCAGAACCTCCCTGGGGAGAGTATTCCACAAACAGGGAGCCACTGCAGAAAAGGCCCTGTTCTTGTGTTGCCACCCTCCAGACCTTTGATCCTCCAATGAAGGAGACTCTACCCCCTTTCTGATCAACTAAAGGAGGGGCAGCTAACATGGTGCTGTCCAGCCAACATGCCCAATTGTCCGGGACGATGGGAAATGCAGAAGAACGTTTAGAGGACATTGTGTTGGCTACCCCTGACCTAAAGTGTCTTGGCCGCCTTCAGTGGCAATCTCACCTGCATTGCATCACACAGGAACATAGGAAAGTGACTATCTGTTTTCCTAGTCATACCTCGGGTTACAGACGCTTCAGGTTGCGTTTTTTTGGGTTACAGACCGCCAAAACCCGGAAGTACCAGAGCGGGTTACAGTGGTACCTCGGTTAACATACGATTCAGGTTACAGACTCCGCCAACCCAGAAATAGTACCTCGGGTTAAGAACTTTGCTTCAGGATGAGAACAGAAATCGTGCGGCGGCAGCAGCGGGAGGCCCCATTAGCTAAAGTGGTGCTTCAGGTTAAGAACAAACCTCTGGAACGAATTAAGTACTTAACCTGAGGTACCACTGTACTTGAGTTTTGGCAGTCGCGCATGCTCAGAAGAGCTAAATTGCGCCTTGCACATGCGCAAAGCGCCAAATCGCAACCCGCGCATGCACAGACGTGCTGCTGTGGGTTGCAAACATGCAACCCGCACGGATCACGTTTGCAACCCGAGCGTCCACTGTATTATCCCCTGCAGGGACAGAGGAGCTGGGACTGTGCAGATGGACTGCAGCCCATCTCTTCCTTGACCCATTGGCCAGGATGGTTAGCAGGGGCTGATGAGAGCTGAGAGTCCCTCTACAGCGAGAGGATCACAGCTCTCCCAGCTAGCCTGCTCTGGCTGGCAGCTTGTCTCCAAGGTCTCAGGGTCTCCCTTTCCCATCCTCACTCAGCAACAATGGAGCATCCTTCCGCCTGGAAGCTGGGGGGGGGGGCACTGTCTCCTGCCCTTCCCACCAGCAGTGTGTTTGTTCCCCGATAGCATCTTCTCCACTTTTGGTCAATATGTTGTCCCGAGGAACGAAAAAGCTGCCAAAGCAAATCTGTCCCGGAAGAAGGAGGGTGTGAATCTGAGCGTGGTCCAAAAGAAACAATTGCTGGTCAAGCTGGATCTCTGATTTTTTCCCTACAGCTCTGAAGGTCTACTCAAAACGAACATAAGGACAATAAGAAGAGCTTTACTGGATCAGGCCAATCGCCCATCTACTCCAGCATCTTTTTCTCACGGTGACCAACCAGATCCCTCTGCTGGGAAACTAATAATAATAATAATTCATTTATATGCCACCCATCGGACTGGGTTCCCCCAGCCACTCTGGGCGGCTTCCGACAAATTAAAGTTAGACATCAAACTTTAAAAACTTCCCTAAACAGGGCTGCCTTCAGATGTCTTCTAAAAGTCAGATAGTTGTTTATTTCCTTGACATCTAATGGGAGGGCGTTCCACAGGGAGGGTGTCACTACCGAGAAGGCCCTCTGCCTGTTTCCCTGCAACCCCACTTCTTGCAGGGAGGGAACCTCCAGAAGGCCCTCGGAGCTGGACCTCAGTGTCCGAGCTGAATGATGGGGGTGGAGATGCTCCTTCAGGTATACTGGACTGAGGCAGTTTAGGGCTTTAAAGGTCAGCACTTTGAATTGTGCTGGAAACCTACTGGGAGCCATGTCGATCCTTGAGACTGACCCAGAAACTCCAGCACGTGCAGAATGCCGCGGCGAGACTCCTTACGGGGTCCTCGCTGCGAGATCACATTCACCCGGTGCTATACCAGCTGCACTGGCTCCCGGTGGAGTACAGGATCAGGTTTAAGGTGCTGGTTTTAACCTTTAAGGCCCTATATGGCCTAGGACCCTCGTAACTACGGGACCGTCTCTCCTGGTATGTCCCGTGGAGGACCTTAAGGTCCACAAATGACAACACTTTGGAGGTCCCAAGCCGCAAGGTGGTTAGATTGGTCTCAACTAGGGCCAGGGCCTTTTCAGTACTGGCCCCGACTTGGTGGAACACTCTGTCATTAGAGACTAGGCTCCTGCGGGACTTGACATCTTTCCGCAGGGCCTGCAAGACAGAGCTGTTCCACCAGGCCTTTGGACGAGGCACAGTCTGACCCCCTCCTTTGGTAATCCTCACAGAACTCTAGCCCAATGGTTGCCATTAATTTGATTCTGAATTGATTTTAGAATGAATTGATTTTAGAATGTATTTCAATAGATTGTGATTTTATGCAAATTTTGTTACTTTTACTGTTGTTAGCTGCTCTGAGCCTGGCTTCGGCTGGGGAGGGCGGGATATAAATTATTATTATTATTATTATTATTATTATTAGGTCCTGGCAGCTGGCAAGCAGGACAAGGGCCCTCCACTCCTTCAGTTTCCAGTAACTGAAATTCAGAAGCATTTCTGCCTCCAACTACAGAAGCCCAGCATAGTCGTTGTGGCTAGCAGCCCTCTCTTTTAATTTATCTGATCATCTTGTAAAGCCGTCTAGGTCAGTGGCTGTGAGTTCCGTAGTTTAACTATGCGTTGCATGAAGCGAAACGGATTTTTAAAGTTCCCAGTACTTTTGCATTCAGCCTTTGGGAGAAGTTCCTGTTTCCAGGCTGAAGTCAGTAGCAGCCAACCCCTTCGGAAAAAAAAAAAAGCATCTTATATTCCCATTGCCTCTGTTCTCCCAAAGAAAAACAAGCCTGCTTTTAAAAGGGCTGGGGATATTTATTTACGGAACGCAGCGGCCATTCCCAGTCTCCCCAGTAAAGCCCAGTGGCCGGAATGCGGTGTTTTTTTAAGACTCTCACGGCTGTTTATTGGGGTCTGGGATGGATTAGACACAGTGAGAACAACTGCTCCCCACCCACCCTGGCCCCACCTGGGACTTTCGCTCACAGCTGCACAGAGCAATCAAGGACCATAAATCATCACCCAGAGGGGGAGTTGTGGGGGGAGGCAGGGAACTGGAAGGGAACCTTCAAGACCAAGGGTGCTGGGCTCCAGAGCGTGGGGCTGGGGGGGGGGGGGGAGGAGGGAATTCCTTCTGGTTCTCTGTGGGGAACAGCAGGGATGGCGTTGCTCGTTCTTCTCCCACACAGCTTGTGAGTCAGCGTGGTTCGGGGTGGGCTGGACGCAAGGAGCAAAAGGAGGTTTTGTGGAGCACGCAGGGAGGCAGCTGTGCGTCGATTCCAGAATATAAAGGATGCAATGCTCTGGACATTTCTGGATTTTATTTCTCATAACCCTGGAGCTCGGGATCACCCTAACAAAACAGCCTTGGGTTAAATTCAGCCCAGAGAAAATAAAAAAGGCACGTGGGACAGAATCGCACCTGGGCAAAAGCAACCTTCTTTTTCTTCTCTGATGCCTTCAAAGGCTCGGGATTTCCTCCTGGAATCACTGTCTGCCTCTTGAAATTACACACACACCTAAGCTCTTCCCTGCAAATGGAAAACTAGAGCAGCAGGCAGAAGACTGGCCTGAGCAGGTTGTGTACAATGGGTTAGCTTTCTTCTTGCAGGGAGTTTGCACTAGGAACGCAGGGGATTTTCACTCATTTCAATTTTGGGGCCAAAAAAGGAGGGCCTTGGGTGTAATTTCCTGGACCTTTGAAGATAATCTTAATATATCTAATCTAAATCAGTCAACCTTTCAGACAGTTACTTGTCTCCCAAAACAGCTCAATGAAAAAATGTTTTCTGTTTTCATTTTAAATCACGGTGAGGCAGGCTGAAGGTAGTTTGAGATCTATCTGGGCAATTTGCATCAAGGTTTCTGACTTTCAGCAATATACACAGGCATTCTCCGTTTCAGCGTGAATTTAAACAATTGTCATTAGCAAGGAGAAGTGCCCATCTCTAGGCTACAGGATTGGCCGTTTAAGAGACCCTTGTTCTCCAAAGATGGTGGAATTCGGAGAGGCAGACCGGAGACAGAGGCTCAAAAGGGCTCTGTTCACTTCCAGTCCTTGGAGGGACAAATTGCTCACTTTGCCTTTTGGTGCAAGTTGCTTTTCAGGAGCAAAACACGCCATGCAGTAATTCCAGTGTAGCACAAAACCCATCAATCACAGGAGTTTCTGTTGTTCCGGATCGAGGATGCTATGAAATCACGGATGTGTTCAAAAGAAAGTTTGTTTAAAAAAAAATGTGTTACAGTGGTACCTCGGGTTACATACGCTTCAGGTTACAGACTCCGTTAACCCAGAAATAGTACCTCGGGTTAAGAACTTTGCTTCAGGATGAGAACAGAAATCTTGCAGTGGTGGCGCGGCGGCAGCAGGAAGCCCCATTAGCTAAAGTGCTGCTTCAGGTTAAGAACAGTTTCAGGTTAAGAATGGACCTCCGGAACGAATTAAGTACTTAACCCGAGGTACCACTGTACATGGAAAAAAAGACATTGCACATACCTTTGTAAATCAAGAAAATCTTTAATAAAAATACATTAAAAAAGAAAGAGTCTACTACTTTCTCTCCCTCTGCCTATTTATTCATCGCATTTATATTTCACCTTTTTCTCCAGGGAGTTTGCCCCCTCCTCAATTAATCCCCACAACAACTAGCAACTCTACCAAAAGGAATTGTTGTGAATCACAGAATCTTAGAAGGGACCCAGGGGTCATCTAGTCCAACCCCCTGTGATGCAGGAATCTCAGCTAAAGCACCCATGACAGATGGCCACCCAACCTCTGCTAGAAAACCTCCAAGGAAGGAGAAATCCACCATCTCACAAGGGAGTCTGTTCCGCTGCTGAACAGCTCTTGCTATTGGAAAACTCCTCCAAATGTTTAGTCGGAATCTCCTTTCTTGGAACTTGGAAATGAGAAATACATAGGGACGGGGGCAGATTTTGTCCTCGCTCAGGGTGCCATGTTACCAAAGTCCACCCAGCAACAACCCTGCGAGGTAGGTTAGGCTGAGAGGGGGCCAGGCTTCGCTGCTCAGAGTGCTGAGCCAAAATAATAATAAGGAGAGGGTGGGCACCAGCACAGGGCCCTGCCAGGGTTAGGGTCCTGGCCATCTGCCCCAGGATATCAGGTGTTGACGCCAGGGCCTCCCCTTTCCCTCTGCATCTCTCCTCCTCTCTCTCTTTCTCTCTCCTTCTTCCTGCTCTCAGAAACCATCGGAACAACTCTTGGCTGCGTTCTCTGAGACAGGAAGGTGTCCCCAAGTCTCAGGAAGGAAAAACACTCCGTGCTGAACCCACAAAGACTGTCTCCGTGGGGCTGGGGTTGGCGGGACTCCAATCCTGACATCACCTGGGAACTGGAACCCGGAGCACAGCTGCGTTCTTCGTCTTCATCTTCTTCTCTCCCGTTCTTTTCCTTTTTTTTTGCAGTTGTGTTTTTCAGAATTCTTTTTATAGCTCTTTTCCCCTCCCAAATATTTCAGGCTCTTGAAAACATTTAACCCCCCCAAAATCTAAGATGTTGAGCTGGAGAGAGAGAGAGAGAGAGAGAGAGAGAGAGAGAGAGAGATGAGGGTGGACCAGGCCTCTCTTGCCAGGAATCCACCAAGGCAAACCTTTTGCTGCTCCCCATTCTGCTGCAAAGGAAACAGTTCCCATTATAAAAACACCGCAATACTCAATTAAAAAAGGGGGGGGGATCCATAATGGTTGCATCCAACTTACAATGCCTCTTGACCATACCGGTGTGGCTGGGAAGGATGACAAGTGTGGCAGCAAGATTCAAGGACAATCAAAGAAACATCTAAACATTTCAGTGTAGCATAGCATAGTATACTAGTTCGAATCCCTGTGACGGAGTGAGCTCCCATTGCTCTGTCCCTGCTCCTGCCAACCTAGCAGTTCGAAAGCACGCCAGCGCAAGTAGATAAATAGGTATGGTTGTGGCAGGAAGATAAACGGCATTTCCATGTGCTCTGCACTTGTCACGATGTTCCGTTGCACCAGAAGCAGTTTAGTCCTGCTGGCCACATGACCCGGAAAGCTGTCTGTGGACAAACACTGGCTCCCTTGCCCTGAAAGCAAGATGAGCGCCGCAATCCCTTTGACTGGACTTAACCACCCAGGGGTCCTTTACCTTTACCTCCCGGTGGTGTGCTATTTAAACAAGTCACTTCCAAAGAAAGCTGCTATTGTTGTTAAAACACAGGTATTCAAAAGTTACAATACAGCTGTGCCCACTGCCATAATATTACAGAATGATCACTGCAGTCCTCAATCCCTCATCACATTCACGCTGGCTCGTCCAGTACATTCAATAGGAACCCATTTTCCCCCCTTTCATTGAAGAAGAACATTTTAATGCCATCATATTCGCAGAGGTGTCTGAGCAGGGGATATATTAATTGAAAATGTCTAGTGAACCAGATCAGTAGAAAAGAAAGCAGTTTGGGGGGGCATCAGTGTATCCCATTCTGCTCCATCAACAGCAGCTTACGAAAGAGACTCTCAGAAGGACCCAAAAGAAAGCAGGGAAAGTGCAACGATATTAATATATCCCCTATATTGGCTCCCAGTACGTTTCTGAGCACAATTCAAAGTGTTGGTGCTGACCTTTAAAGCCCTAAACAGCCCCAGCCCAGTATATCTGAAGGAGCGTCTCCACCCCCATCGTTCTGCCCGGACACTGAGGTCCAGCACCGAGGGCCTTCTGGAGTTCCCTCCCTGCGAGAAGCCAAGTTACAGGGAACCAGGCAGAGGGCCTTTTTGGTGGTGGCACCCGTCCTGTGGAATGCCCTCCCACCAGATGTCAAAGAGAACAACAACTACCAGACTTTTAGAAGACATCTGAAGGCAGCCTTCTTTAGGGAAGCTTTTAATATTTGATGCATTACGGTGTTTTAATATTTTGTTGGAAGCCGCCCAGAGTGGCTGGGGAAGCCCAGCCAGAGTGGCGGGGTGTTGTTGTTGTTTAGTCGTTTAGTCGTGTCCGACTCTTCGTGACCCTCTGGACCAGAGCATGCCAGGCACTCCTGTCTTCTACTGCCTCCCACAGTTTGGTCAAACTCATGCTGGTAGCTTCGAGAACATTGTCCAACCATCTCGTCCTCTGTCGTCCCCTTCTCCTTGTGCCCTCCATCTTTCCCAACATCAGGGTCTTTTCCAGGGAGTCTTCTCTTCTCAGGAGGTGGCCAAAGTCTTGGAGCCTCAGCTTCATGATCTGTCCTTCCAGTGAGCACTCAGGGCTGATTTCCTTAAGAATGGAGAGGTTTGATCTTCTTGCAGTCCATGGGACTCTCAAGAGTCTCCTCCAGCACCATAATTCAAAAGCATCAATTCTTCGGCAGGGAATCAATCAATCAATCAATCAATATTATTATTTTCCCCACTTTAATCTGCTTGTGTTGTTTTTCCTGCCGCATGTAGATGCGGCCTGTTTTCCTCTCTGTTCTTGCGACTGGCCTGTGTTTCGATTTACCTGCTGTAAGGAGGAAAGAAGCGCAGCAGAAGCCAGCGGCCTCCCCTGACCTGGAGCCCATTCGTCATTTGGTGTTGAATCCTCTCTTTCCTGACGCAGCTTTCTGGAGCTCGGTGGCTCCTTCCGAGCCAAAAAGGGAGCCAGAGTTCTGCTCTGTCATTTTTGCTTGCAGCTGGAGAAGCGGGGGGACCACAGGGAGAGGTGTTCTCTTAGACATCACAAGTGGAAGGCCATAGCTTTTGGGGAAGAAGGCCCATAGCTCAGTGGGTAGAACATCTGCTCTGTATACAGAAGGTCCCAAGTTCAATCCTCAACATCTCCAGGTAGGGCTAGGAGAGATCCTTGCCTGAGATGCTGGAGAGGAGTGTCCCTGGAAAATAATAATAATAATAATAATAATAATAATAATAATAATAATTCATTTATATGCCATCTATCTGACTGGGTTCCCCCAGCCACTCTGGGCGGCTTCCGACAAATTAAAATACATCAAACATTAAAAACTTCCCTGAACAGGGCTGCCTTCGATGTCTTTTAAAAGTTGGATAGTTGTTTATCTCCTTGACATCTGGTGGAAGAGAAGAAGAGGAAGAAGAGTTTGGATTTGATACCCCGCTTTATCACTACCTGAAGGAGTCTCAAAGCGGCTAACATGCTCCTTTCCCTTCCTCCCCCACAACAAACAGTCTGTGAGGTGAGTGGGGCTGAGAGACTTCAGAGAAATGTGACTGGCCCAAGGTCACCCAGCAGCTGCATGTGAAGGAGCGGAGATGCGAACCCGGTTCACCAGATTACGAATCTACCGCTCTTAACCACTACACCACACTGGCTCTCCACAGGGCTTTCCACAGGGCGGGCGCCACCACCGAGAAGGCCCTCTGCCTGGTTCCCTGTAACCTCACTTCTCGCAGGGAGGGAACCGCCAGAAGGCCCTTGGAGCTGGACCTCAGTGTCCAGGCTGAATGATGGGGGTGGAGACACTCCTTCAAGTATACTGGGCCGAGGCTATTTAGGGCCTTGAAGATCAGCACCAACACTTTGAATTGTGCTCAGAAACGTCCTGGGAGCCAATGTAAGTCTTTCAGGACTGGTGTTATATGGTCTCGGCAGCCGCTCCCAGTCACCAGTCTAGCTTCCGCATTCTGGATTAGTTGCAGTTTCTGGGTCACCTTCAAATATAGCCCCACATAGAGTGCATGACATTAGTCCAAGCAGTAGATAACCAGAGCATGCACCACTCTGGCGAGACGGGGAGCTAGAAGAGACCCCTAACAAGACCTTTGAAACTTCTGCCCTTCAGTTTTGCCCATACAGGACTAGAGAGGTCCGACTCAGTATAAGGCAACTTCTAGGTTCCTATCATCAAACCTGTGCCTCTTGACCCTGCTTCAAGTCTCACTTCCATTTTGCTGGAAAGAAAGGGAGATGAGTCCTTAGCACCTACTGACTTCGCACTACTGTGCCTCTGTAATTGTACAACAGCCGTGTAAGGTAGGCCATTATTAGCATCATTCCCATGATACCAGGAATGGAGATCAATTCAGTTTGCCTTTCTCAAAAATGTGCATATTAGGCAAAATCGCAGAGCAAGCTGTGAGCAGTGGGATAAATTCACACAAGAATGCTGACACGTTCTCACGCGAACTTGCACAAAAGGTACTACCCCAAATCTCTTTTCTGATGAGAGCAGCTTTTGGGTCTCATTTGGAAACCAAGAACCCAGAGTCTGGAGGAAGAATGGGGAGGCACACAATGCCAGATGCTTGAAGTCCAGTGTGAAGTTTCCACAGTCTGTGTTGATCTGGGGAGCCATGTCATCAGCTGGTGTTGGTCCACTGTGCTTCATTAAGTGCAGAGTCAACGCAGCCGTCTACCAGGAGATTTTGGAGCACTTCATGCTTCCTTCCGCAGATGAGCTTTATGGGGATGCGGACTTCATTTTCCAGCAGGACTTTGGCACCTGCCCACACTGCCAAAAGTACCAAAACCTGGTTCAATGCCCATCGGATTACTGTGCTTGATTGGCCAGCAAAGTCGCCTGACCTGAACCCCATAGAGAATCTATGGGGCATTGCCAAGAGAAAGATGAGAGACATGAGACCGAGCAATGCAGAAGAGCTGAAAGCTGCTATTGAAGCTTCCTGGTCTTCCATAACACCTCAGCAGTGCCACAGGCTGATAGCATCCATGCCACGCCGCATTGAGGCAGTAATTGATGCAAAAGGGGCCCAAACTAAGTACTGAGTACGTATGCATGCTTCTACTTCTCAGAGGTCCAATATTGCTCTATTTGCAGTCCTTGTTTTGCTGATTTCATTTAATATTCTAATTTTCTGAGATTGTTAAGTTGGGGGTTTCATCAGCTGTACGCCGTGATGATCACAATTATAACAAATAAAGGCTTGACATATCTCGCTTTGCATGTCACGAGTCTATCTCATATATTAGTTTCACCTTTTAAGTTGAATTACTGAAATAAATGAACTTTTCCACGATATTCTAATTTTCCGAGTTTCACCTGTACTTGGGCACAGATAGGGGGTTGTAAGGATGGGTTGATAGTGTGGAAGCAGAAATACTATCATGTCCCTGGACTGATCATTCATACCTGCATCCGGGCCCAAGTGCCACAGAGTTAATTTTAGGAATGCATGTCTGACTGTACTGAAGAATGAACACATATTCATAAGAAACACACGTTTCAAACTCCAGCAGAAGGTCCTAGACCTCTTGGTAGTGTGTGTAGGAATACCTGCGAGTGCTGGACACGGGTTCAGACCCACCCCTTGTGACAATGTCTGCTGGGGCTGATGTAGCACAAAACATCTGAAAGACAGGAGGGTGGAGGAGGCTGGTTTAAACTTTTCTTTGCCTGTGCATGTCTGGAAGCACAAATCCTGGTTTGGTTTCTAAACTATGGTTAATACAAACAATGATTTGATTTGATGTGATGTCTGGACTGGGCCTCTGCTTTGCTTTCTTTCTCATGGAGACCATTTTTAATTCTTAACAGACTCCTCCGCAAGGCTAACTATAAATTCTTCTGCTTCGAGGATTTACGGCAGGTAGGGAACGTGAATTCTTTAAATTGCGGAAAATATTTTACCTACTCTGCACGCTCTTGGGAGAGAGGTTCGTTCTCTTTATTTCAAAGTCCCCTTGGCCGTAACTCAGCGATAGAGCATTTGGTTTCAATGCACAAGGTCGCAGGTTCACGTCCTGCCACCTCCATGTGGGCTGGGAAAAAGCCCTTCCTATGTTCCTGTGCTGATGCCATCATCTGACAAGGTCAGGCACTGTCCATAGATGTTTGGAGGGCATCTGAAACACAGAGGCATGCTGCCACTGAATCTGTAGGTTCTCCTGGATCTTGTGGCTTATACAGTGGTACCTTGGTTCTCAAACGCCTTGGTACTCAATCGCCTTCATTCTCAAACGCCAAAAACCCAGAAGGGCTCCAGTTTTCAAACTTTTTCAGAAGCCGAATGTCTAATGCGGCTGTTGGCTATTGTTTCCGGGGCACCTGCACCAATCAGAAGCTGCCCCTTGGTTTTCAAATATTTTGGAAGTCTAACGGATTAAGTTTGGCGCTTTTGTTTTTGCTATTTATTTTGCATTTTTGTCTTTGAGGCTTTTTTGTTTAATTTGTTTTTGTGTGGAACCCACTTCAGCTACTGATTGAATGTGTGACTGTGGAAATGGATAAAAGTCCCCCATCCAAACAATGACTATCATCAGTGCAGGTAATGTTTTTTTAAAAAAATATCATCTACAATGCTGTCTTATTTATTTTATAGTACAGTACATTGATTATTACGGGACACGGGTGGTGCTGTGGGTTAAACCACAGAGCCTAGGACTTGCCGATCGGAAGGTCGGCAGTTTGAATCCCCGCGACGGGGTGAGCTCCCGTTGTTCGGTCCCAGCTCCTGCCAACCTAGCAGTTCGAAAGCACGCCAAAGTGCAAGTAGATAAATAGGTACCGCTCCAGCGGGAAGGTAAACAGCGTTTCTGTGCGCTGCTCTGGTTTCGCCAGAAGCGGCTTAAGTCATGCTGGCCACACGACCCGAAAGCTGTACGCCGGCTTCCTCTGCCAGGAAAGCGAGATGAGCGCCGCAACCCCAGAGTCGGTCACGACTGGACCTAATGGTCAGGGGTCCCTTTACCTTTACCTTACATTGATTATTGCTTTCATTTTATGGATCAATGGTCTCGTTAGATAGTAAAATTCATGTTAAATTGCTGTTTTAGGGGTTGTTTTTCAAAGTCTGGAACGGATTAATCCATTTTGCATTACTTTGTATGGGAAAGCATGCCTTGGTTTTGGAACGGACTTCCGGAACGGATTAAGTTTGAGAACCAAGGTACCACTGTATCTGTTAACATCTGTCATGAATGTTCCACTGTCGAACAGCTCTTACTGTGAGAAAGTTATTCCTGATGTTTAGTTGGAATCGCCTTCTTGCCATTTGAAGCTTGCCCCATCTTCCATAATAATAATAATAATTTATACCCCGCCCTCCCTGGAGTTGGGCTCGGGGCAGCTAACACTAGTAAAATTACAGTAAAAACATAATAGGAAAAAAGAAAACAATTTAAAATACAGGTTAAAATGCAATTTAAAATGCAGCCTCGTTTTAAAAGTAGCCCATAGATCAAAACCATAAGGGGAGGGAAACATAAGGGTCAGACCGAGTCCAAACCAAAGGCCAGGCGGAACAGCTCCATCTTGCAGGCCCTGCGGAAAGATGTCAAGTCCTGCAGGGCCCTAGTCTCTTGTGACAGAGTGTTCCACCAAGTCGGGACCAGTACTGAGAAGGCCCTGGCCCTAGTTGAGACCAATCTAACCACCTTGCGACTTGGGACCTCCAAAATGTTGTTATTTGTGGACCTTAAGGTCCTCCGCGGGGCATACCAGGAGAGGCGGTCCCGTAGGTACATGGGTCCCATGCCGCATGTGGCACCCCTTTGGATATTTGTAGATGGCTCTCATATACCTTTTCAGTCTCCTCTTCTCCAGGCTCAACATACCTTGCGTCCATTAATTCTTTTGCACAGAGTCCGGCTTGTTTGACGGTGAAACCAGATAGACAGGGAACAGATGAACACGAATAAATTGGTTGTTCTTGTTTCTTTAAAGGGCAGTGCCATGCATTGCTCCATTCCATCAGTTTGTCTCCCAAGGAGCTGTTTCTCTCTTTCTCCTCCTTTGCAACCCCTCCCTGCTCCTTTCTCAATCCCCAGCAGGGACAGGGTGTGAAACCCAGGACTGGGGTGAACAGCAGGTTAATTTCCAGCCCTGGCTTCCCTCTGAAAACAATA